AAGTTGTGGCTGCCCCATCCCTGGAAGTGTTCAAGGCCAGGTTAGATGAGGCTTTGGGCAACCTGATGTAGTGGAGGAGTTCTCTGCCCATGGCAGGGGGGTTGGAACTAGATGATCTTTAAGGTCCCTTCGAACCCTAACCATTCTATGATCTTTGAGGTCCCTTCCAACCCAAACCATTCTATGATTCTAATGAAGCAAACTCCAGCCTTTTCTTGGTGCGCGAGTGCCTGGCAGATCTAACACCCTGTTTCCCTGGGCTGGCCCTCTTCTTATCCTCCAGCAGCCATCACAGGAGCTAAGCCGTCTGCCTGAGCTTGCAAACTGCCATCGGTTCTGCAAAGAGCTTTCAGTCCACCTGCCGTGGCACACAACAAATGGGATGACACCATGCAAGTCAGAAGGCAAGAAACCTGAGTGCACTAACGGGCAGCGGCTGGTGCTGCAGTAAAAGGCTGAGGTTGGCAGTGGAGGCTGCAAGCGGGTCGGCTCTTACCTGACCACCTGCAAAAATGACAGGGGTGGAGGCGGGCTTTGGGCGGTAGGGAATGGTGGCACCTTTTGGTGGGGACTAGGAAAAGGGACAAGGAGAGGGAGAGAGAACATTAGAACAGCTTTCCTGAAACGGCGGCAAAAAGAGTGTTAGAAAGCACCCGACGGAGCACGGCCCCCGGGGCCGCTGCCAGCAACACCCGCACCAGGCAAACCGCGTTTCTGGACAGGAGGACACAGGGGAAAACCAGTGTTTAATGGACAACGAGGACAACCTGGGGTACAGGAGATCCCCTGCCAAGGCACGGGCCCCTAAATCGCTTCCCGTACCTCTGCTGCCTGCCTTGCCTTCCTTCTGCTCACTGCAAACTGCATTGCCTGATCTAGACTCAAGCCTGATGGTAGAACACAGTGCCCTCCTCAAAACACTCCCAAGGAGACCCTCAAGGTGCAGCAAGATGGGGAGGTACACCTACAGAACAGGCTTTTCATCCCTGGATGCCACAAGCCTCCTTGTGCAGTGGTTTTCCTTGCAGACTGAGAGCTCTTGCATGTCGGCAGCCCACCCTGGAGTCATCGCAGCCCGCCACACACCGGGAGCTGCGGCATGGCATTGTGAGCACAGGCACTGGAAGGAATGAGCAGCCCTTCTGAGCCACCCAGCATGATGCTTAAGCTCTTTGACCTCTCTCATCTTCCTCACTGCTGGAACAGGGTCATCTTCAGGACTTGGTCTAGGCTATCGCCATCCAAGCTGGGACATGAGTGGCCATGCAGCGGATGCTGCAAGGTCCTGTTGTTGCAGTCAAGACCTCCCATGCTCTGGTGGGACAAGCGGCAGTGATTGCTTTGGCCAGGGTGCTGAGCTCTGGAGGAGCCACAGGCTGCAAACCCCTCTCAGATGGCAACACCAGCATTTCCAGAGATCTTATCCTAGAGCTGGATAGTGGTAGCATGACGAGACAGATGCCAGCAGCAGAGGCACTGATCCTTACGTGCTCCCAGCCCTCCTCCTGCAGCAGCATGACCCGGGACAGCCCCACTCCAGCTGGCCGGGACATCTCGCTCCTCCTTGCTGTGGCCTGGCTGGTACCTGGGTAGGTCCGAGCAGAAGCTGTAGTGGTGCACATCAAGCTGTATCAATGCATCCCACTGTGCAGTGCACGGGATCTTCTCACCCAAGTTATGTCTGTTGGTTTTCTCTCAAACATAACTAACAGGCCACAAAGGAGATTTTGCAGGTTTCTAGGGATTGGGAGAGATTTCAGATAAAAGCCTCCTGGTTCTACCCAAAGTTATATGACCCAGTTACTGCTATGTAAAGACAGGCAATATAAACTCCACTATCTCATGGAAAATTCCTAATTTTTTCTGTACGTTCTTCCAGACACCCACTTGTAGCCAAGTGGCATATCCAAATCCTCCTGCTAAGCATAGGCCTGCAGGAAAGCCGTAAGATCAAAGCACAGCCTCCATAATCACAAACCTGGTTTTTATTTTACTGCGCTACAGATCTTGAAGGGGATGAGCAAGGATTTCTGTGGTAAGATAACTTAAGACTGAAAGGTTATAAGGAGCATCTCTGTGAACTGTTAAAGTCAGGAGACTTCTCAGGTTTCAGAATGCAAGCAAACCCATGGGTTTTTCTCTTTCCCATTGCCCAGCCATCCAGAGGAGCAGCAGCCCTTGCTTTGGTTGGTTAGAACTGCAGCCACTGAAGACTTTGCAACACACCTGCAAGCATCACCTGGGGCCCACTTCTGCCACAGTCCAGAGCATAATCTGGAGTCGCTGTGCACCCCTCTGGCAGCAGTGTACTCCCCTGAGCATCACTACCAGCCAGCAATGGGTAATGTGGCATGTGGCAACTCCTCCTCAGCCATGCTGCTGCCAACCTGAAGTTGCTTAGTTGCTGAAGGTTCTGCTTCACCTCTGCTGAGCCTCAGCATCCTCATGTGAAGCTCTTGCAGCAGCAAACGTGCTCCTCCCCGTCGTGAAAGGGCAGCGGTGTGCGGGCCGTGCAGCAAGCCAGAGGGCCCAATCCACAGCTGGGAGGCACCAGGAGTGGAGAGTGTCACTGTCTCATTGTCTCTCCTGGAGCTTCTTCCATCTGAGATGGCAGATGTGGACGTGGGGCATGTGGCTGTCGTCATCCCTGGCAGTAAGCCACTGGTACAGCAGCATCTGTCCATGGCAGAGATGTTCAAGCTCTGCTCGTCAGCATTTGTCCCAGAAAACAGCACCCTAGGCATGTGTCCACGCACCCTATGGCCTCAGCTCTCCACCAGTCTTCCTCAATACCTTCCCCGCTGTGCCTTGCTGGAGCCCAAGTCTGTGCTCCCAGACCCAGCGCTTCCAGTGCAGGGGATGCACTGGCCTCCCCCTCCCAGCCGTGGTTCTCAAGGGGCACCGTGAGCCCCATGCGGAGGCGGCCAGGCACTCAGCTGAGTGTCCCTGTCCCCTTCCCATGGCACCCTCGGCACTGCCGGGACACAAGGCTATGGCTGTCCCAGCCCACTTGGCCTCTTCCGGCACCCCTCTCTCCTGAAGCCACCCTGTGCCACGACACAAACCATCTCCTTTGGGGCACCCAACCAGGTGGGTTTCCAGTGTGGAACTCTAGAAACAACATATGAGTATGGCGGGGAAAACACACTGGGTGGGTTTCAAACGGAAGTACCAGGAAATGAGTGGTCCAACAACGCGTGGTGAAGGGTATGAGAGACACACTCCACAGCTCCCAGCGCCGCTGCGGTGCCAGCTGGGTTTTTTTCCTATGTACTTTACCCCCTTTGTTACAGACTGTACCTCCAGCATCACCACACAGATCTGTTTGACACACTGGATAATTGCGTCGGGTGTCCCCGAGATTGTCACCGCCCGCTCCGTGGAGTTGGGCAGCATGTCCCCCGCCACTTGAACCTGAGCACCTGTTGACTGAAGACAGAAAGAGAGAGGAGAAGAAATCCCACAGCTGAATGCCTTTCCTTGCAGCCAGCTCCAGCTCTGATGCCACGTGCCTCCCAAGATCTGCACCGCCCCGCGCCTGCTCAGACACAGCGCCCTGCCTGCATCTGCAGGAGCATGCTGGCAAGGTCCCACGAGATGCTGCTCCTATGTCAACAGGGAAGCAACATGATGCATGATGCTCGCAGCATAAGGATCCCCCTTTCCGAAGCAGCTCCCGCTCCCCTTGCCGGAGCTGCGACTATGTGCAATAACAAAACCAGGTCTGCCTTACCTCCCTGATTTCCTTGATCTTGGAGCCTCCTTTGCCAATCAGCGAGCCGCACTGACTAGCTGGCACGACCAGTCTCAGCGTCACCGGAGGTTTGCTGGTAGCAGTGCTGTTGCTCATTGAGTTGGTTATGTCCTTGGGAAGGAAGAATGCAACGCATCAGCCTTTCCAACCCAGCCAGATGCCTGTCATCCAGGCCAACCCAAATGCCCTGGGCCAGAGAAGAGGGGTCACGTCCCTCAGACCCCAGCTGGTCTGCAGCTCCATCACTGTGCATCTCTGCAGTTAATTAACTGTGAGACCTCTGGGACGCTTCACTGAAGCTCAGTTCTTGCCTAGTTAGAGATGTCTGGAAGGTTTCGTGCTGAGGTTGTGTATCAGCCAAGCAAGGCCAACCAGGCACGCATGGGTTGGAGGTACCCAGGTCTATCTGCACTGCTGGCCCCAACAGTGGGCACACCAGAGCTCTGCTTGGCTGGTGGGCCACTCAAGGGTCTGGATGCAGACCATTTCACTCTGCCCTCCTGGGGCAAAGGGCTCACGTTGCTCACCTCCTCAAATTTGTAGGCAATCATGGCAAAAGCCTTGAAGATGGCATCAGTGGGGCCGGTGATGGTCACAATTCGCTCAGGGCAGTTCCCTTCTGAGATGTTGATCCTTGCCCCACTCTGGAAAGAGAAGTGCAGTCCTGGAATAACCATGGCCAAGCAACCAACAGGGATGTGCTGGAGGTGCAGCCCTTCCTCCTGGTTGGATCCTGTCCCAGCCTGGGAAGGTTTAGTATCCAACAGCAGAAGCTCAGATTGCCCCAGGAGACCGGCAAGTACATCGCTCACTTGGTCCCTGGTCATCACCTCTGCTGGACTCTTGACATCCCATCTAACCTTAAAAACCTCTCATCCTTTCCTCCTGCGGCACTTCCAGTGCTGCCTTACCCCGACCCTCAGAAAGGGTTTCCAAGCATCCACCTTGGGTCTTTTATTGCAGGGAAAACCCACGCAATCAGGCAAGACCAACTCATGGGGTCATTGCTTGTAAAAAGAAGAGTGTTTCTTATTGATCTGATAACTCCTTGGTAGCTGAAGGCACAAAGACCCTGGGCAAACTCAAGCATCTCAGAAGTGACTTCAATTCCCTGTTTCATTAAGAGCAAATTCTTGGCTCTGGAAAATTCCCATTTAATGTGATAGGAGTTTGTTTAAGTACGGAGTGAGAAAACTGGACCAAAGAGGTCTGAGCACAGATGGCTTGTGTGTCTTGACCCTGATGGCCCTTCCCAATCCTCTCCCCTCCACCTACAAATCATTTTAAAGAGCAGGGCTGCTCACCTCCTCACGCATCTTCTTCACAGTCTCTCCTTTCTGAAATAAGAATCAGAAACACAGGCTATTGTAAAAAAAAATCAAAACTTCTACCTTCTAAAAAACTCTTCCAAACACATCTCTCTAATATATGGCATAGGCAAACATTTGGGCAGCTCTGAGCTGTCTGGTCCTCCATCCCCATGTGCTCCCCACATCTATAAGACGCAACAAACAAACCAGCTATCCAACTGCAGCTTCCACCTCCATTTCTACGCTTCCTATTAGGAGGAAAACCACATGGAAAAAGCTCAGAAACTGATGAGATGTTGAGAAAAGCTGGCACTTCAGAGTGCCCTTGAAGGGCAGTCATCTAGTACCTATAGAGAGATCTGATATCTTTATATCTAGATATAAAGCAGGCACAACTGTGGATCTTTCCAGAGCTGGACAGGCTGATGGAAAAATGAAGTGCAAGCATACAGGACAAGGTGTTTGTGCTGCAAATCTTTGCTGCCACAAACCTGCCTTTTAAAAACACCAAAAAAACAATCCCGTGTAGCCAGGACTTTCTAAACCACCGTGGCAAGCACCAGGCAGCAGAGCACCTCATAAAGCTTTTCTGCATAAGCTAAATGGCATCATGCATCCTCAGGGGGAAGCGCTGCAGAATTTAGGTGGGTTTGCAGGACATTTCCTAATCTCTCTTAAGGAATCTATTTAATTAACGTGTCAGGGCAACATGATCAAAAACATCTATTTGCTATCACAGTGAAGCAGCTGGAAATGACACTAGATAGGTTTGGTGGCTGTTTTTTTTCAGAGGAATGGTCTTTGATCTCTATGTGGGTCTGCCATCATTTCTATCTCACAAACCGAGCAACACACTCACGCACACTGAACATTTAAGGGACATTACAGGGAAGAGGTGACTGGCATCTACCACATGGCAGGCAGCGAATGGTGCAGGCAATAGCATTTAAAACACATTTAAAAGATGTCATTACCTTTCCAATGATGCTTCCAACTTCCTGCCAAAAAAAAGCCAAACACAAAGGAAAAGACATTAGAAGACATGAAGACAATTCAGCCCAACCCCATAATGAAGCAAAGACCTGGTGCACGCTGTCCCCAGCAGAAGGACAGCGCGAGGGGCAGGCATGAGAAGGGCCAGAAGCACCATTTCACCATCCCCATCAGCAGGAGGAAACCTGCTCCTTGCCACCCAGGGCTGCAGAGGCTGGCTGGACTCGGGCGCAGCCAGAGTGGAGGTGGGAGAGGGAGCCGTGAGGAAACCCCCTCACCAGGAGCCCCTTACCTTGCCGGGCATCAGCAGCCGGGCGGGGAGGGTGGGGAGCCGTGAGGAACCCCCCTCGCCAGGAGCCCCTTACCTTGCCGTGCATCAGCAGCCGGATGGTGAGGGTGACGTTCAGGCCGCCTTCAGAGACCTTCGACTCCATTTCCTACCAGGGGACAGGAGACGTGCGTTAGCTGGGAGGGCAGCCCTGGCGCAGAAGGAGACAGCACCACGGCCGTATCACCTGGAGACAGAGAGGGGGAAAGGTTTTCTCTTAAAATGGGCAGGTTCCTCAACATGGGATGGACCCTGCAGAGCAGCAGGGCATAGGAAAGCCACGGCTGGAGGAGCTGCCATGGGCTACTGGAGGAGATGTCGTGGCCTGAGCCACCTTAGTAGGTGCAGATCAGGCCGGCTGCTCAAGGCAGGGACCGCACCAGGCGCAAGCCCGGGAACAGCCCGCACCTCTGCTGCGGCTTTGCCACCGGTTTGATGCAAAAGCCATTGTAGGAGCAAAGACTCAAATGTCCAAGGTGGCACAGCCAGAGGGCTGGCCCACACCTGCACGAGCCAAAAAGCAGTTGCGCCCAGCTGAGCACGTGGATGCAGGAGCAGGGAGTTGGCAGAGCAGCCTGGCCAAGGACCGACAGCTGAACTGGGACTTTAAAAGGTCCAGGGCACCTATCTAGCAAACCAAAATTCACCGTTTCAAGTGTGAATGGGCACTCAGAAAATCAAAAGCCAGTTTTTCAGTAACCAGGAGATACTCATCTGACCCCAGGAGCACAGAGCAGGAAGGATGGAGCTGGTGTCCCAATTACTACACATCTGTGTTTTCACCTCGACCTGTGAGCAGCCCCAGCAGAGCGCTGCGTCTCAGGACCACGCCATCTCCAGCCACTCATGCTTTGCATGTATCTAACAAAACCTCTGCGAGTTTTCCCGGTGCTGTCGTGTTCCTTTCCCTTCCCATTCTCTCTCTTTCCTCCTCTGCCCTCTGGAGGAAAAACGCCTCTGATGTTTTGGAGGCACAGGAAGAAAAATCACAGAAAGGCAACAAATTCTCCATTTTCTTTCCTGACGCCTCCTTAGTAGCATCTCTGTGCGAGGACCTGGCATATGAAATGTCTCTGCAGCCTATGGCACAGGGAGACCGACCTGGACTCAGAGGGAGGTGCCAGCATCCTTCTACATGCAATGCCGTGAGATTTGCAGCAGTTCTCCCTCACGTTATTTAATCCCTCAGTATATATCAGATGGGAGATTTTTCATCCTAGTCATGAGCATCTGGCATTTTCCTTTGCTCAGACAGGGACTTATGTGACCAAAAAATGGGGGGTAAACCAGTTCTCGAGTATTACTTTAATGCAAAGAGGCAGTCGGGATGAAGAAACACACAGCAACGCACAAATCATGGGTGGGAGAGGAGCTTGATGTAAAACCTCCTCCAAGAGGTTATTATGAGACCCAAAATGGATAAAACCTGTGTGGTTAGGAGGGAAATGATGTTCCCACTGAGCTAACAGGAGACCAGCTCACTGGGAATGAGGTTGCTTATAACCTACTTGCAAACACTGATCTTGAGGCCGATGGATGTTACAATTGAAAAAAAAGTAAAATCCTCACAAGAAGGATAAGGAATGAAACGTTGAAGATGTCAAGCCAAAAGGCACTGTTCATGGTGGGGAGGAGGAGAGTATTTCAGAGGAAGTGTGTGATGATGTCGGAGACCAGAGTAATAGGAACGGGATGACACATGATAGCACAACATCCGAGATCAGGAACTTTCTTTTTCAAGACCGAGCCCACTGCAGGCAAACAATAAAGGAAAACAAATAACTGGTTGTCTTGGTTAACCCCGTGCTGATTTCTGCACGTGGGAAGCAACGCTGAAAAAGATGAACGTGCTGATTTGTGGAGACCAGTGCTGCTGCATGCTTCACATGGAAGAGAAACGATGTGCCAGGAGACAAAGCGCACGCACAGAAGATGTGCCTCCACTGCAGAGAGGGACAGCCATCCCCAGGGATGTCCTGCCCCAGGAGCAACCTAGCCCTGCCGCAGGGAAAGAAACAAAGCCGTGACACCACCACAGCCACCCACGAGGCTGGTGCATGCCAACGCAGAGGTGCAACTCCCCTTCCCAGCCCTGGCAGCAGAGCCAGAGGAAGGTAGGGGCTGTTCAGAGCTGATGGTAAAGGCGTATCCTCAGGAAGCAGCTTTCGTGACTCGCAGAGGCAGTACCCACAAAGCCATCCTGCCTCGCACACCACCCAGAGGGCTTTTCTTTGCAGGTTGCCCAATCACAGTGGCCCAGGGCAGCCGCAGCCCAGAGTGGCAGCCCCACAGGCGAGGGTGGGACCCTGGAGCAGTCTGGGCTTTGCCGCTGGGCTGGTGGACCCCAAAGCCCAGCCGGGTGGCCAAGATGCTCTAAACCCAGACACGTCTTTGTGGCAGCAGGAGAGCTGGCAGTCCCAATGAGGCAGGTCACGACTCACCCACTAAGGATCGGCCAAATTCACCGGTCTGCTTTCATCGAACATCCTATGGCAGCAGCACTTACCGCGGGAATGCCTGCCATCCCCGGCTCCGCATCCCTCACCGGAGGAACCCTGCGTCAGGCCGTTATGTAAATGTTTCCAATTGATTGAAAAAGTGGGTCATGTGTTAGCCAAATGCTCCTGGCTTTAAGATTTATCAGCGTTATTAAATTAAGCACGCTTCATGCTCCAGTGAGCGGGAAAGCTACATTGGCCTTTTCTTAATCATACTGGTGAAAGGTAAGTCTTTCATAGGGGGGTTCATAAGCTCAATGGAAATGATGGGAACAATAGAGCCGAGGCATTTACCTTGGGCATGTGCCTCCCCCCACAACCCTCATTCTTCATGGACAAAGGGCTGGGAAAAATTATCCCCAGAACGCCATTTTGAGCATTTCGGAGTATTCCGTGCCTGGAGAGAGACTCATCTCGGACCGTTTCTCCTCACCGTCATACTCTGCCTGGTTCATAGCAGCTTTGAAATGGCTGCTTTGTCCATCTACTTGAAAGCCCTGAGGACATCATTACATCCAGTCCAACGGATAGAGTAGATCCAGAGCCCAACTCCAAGCCAGTGCAAAGCAGGTGCAGCCCTGCAGAGGTCAAAGATGCAGCATTAGGAGACAGAAGTGACGAGTTTGGCCCTGAAATGGAAGATGTACAGCGAGCCAAGCAAGGCTCTGCCGAGCATCGTGCCTGGGCAACCGCGGGCGGAGGACCGGAGCAGCATCCTCTCATGCACGGCCATCACGAGGAGCAGCCAGATGTCTTTGCACCACAGTGAGAGGAGCTCTGCAAGGTGAGGAGGACAGTGCCCGGCACCAGTCTGCCCCAAAACAGCTGGGTAACATCTTTTCAAAGGATAATCCCGTTGCAGAGCAAATAGACCTTTTAAACGCAGCTGCCTTTTGGGAAAGTGCTCAGAGGAGACATCATCAGTACTCAGAGCAATTCAGTTCTTCACTCTCCCTTGGTTTTGAGATCAAATATATTAAATTCTGGGAAATTTCCTTAATCTATCAGCAATTCCCTGTGTTTGAAAATGCAGCTCAGGCATCAGTGACCAAGGAGAAGAAGGAGAAAAGGAATGAAAATGAAAACCCAGAGTAGCAGAATGTCCCCTGTGCCCCGTGTGCAAACATACACACTGATTTTTCTTCTTTCCAGTTTTTTGGATATATGAGGAACTGCCTAAGCTGGCACTCTTGTCTTTATGCTTGTTGGTACCTCACAAATACTGACACTCTCCTAAAATTCGAGCAAAACCTCCTAATTAGGGGAATGGTGAACACCATGTATTAAATTAATTTAATAACATGATCATCTCCCAGACAGGAGATGGCATGTGAACCTGAACGGGGGGAGGGAGACCAAGCTCCGGGCTGGACTTTGTCTTCCAGCCTGGTTTCCAAACAGGGGCTGGAAAAGCAGATGCTGGAAGCCCTGCAGCCCCTTCCCGATGGGTGATAGCAGGGGGCTTGGCTGAACTCAAGCAGGGCCAGTGTCCCTGCAGGGGCCAGGAGACATTGCTGGCTCTGTGCTTGCTGATGCCAGCCCTCCTTCTCCTCCTCCTCCTCCTCCTCCTTTTCCTCCTCCCATGCACCCACTTGGGCTCCCCGGGCACTCTGGCCACGCACGAGCAAGTGCTGTGGCGCAGCTCCAGCAAATGCTGCCTACACCTCCTCTGCAAACGCCCAGTGGAGAGCCAAGGCGTCTGCTGCTGATACTGGGGGGCAGCTCCCTCAAGACAGCCCCGCCACCCCGGGGCATGGCATCAGCAGCCTGCATTTTGGAGAAGGTGGTTGAGGCTCTCATAAACGAGCTCCATCAGAAAACTGTTCTTCTTGTCTTGGCACTAGCATTGCAGACCCCAACTCCAAAGAGAGGATCTCTCTGATCTGCTCTAAACTCACCCTAGTGCCTCTGGGACAGACGGTCCTTTCAGAAGACAGATAAAAAAGGTAGAGTTAATTTGGTAGAGCTTGTCATGGAATATTCTCATCAGTGTTATGGAGGTCAAATTTCATTGCTTTATCTAGGTATTTGTTTGGGGGGCAGCAATGCTTTGTTCAAGCTGTCCAAAAACAAACAGAAAGGACAACTTAGTGCAAAAACATCCCACAGGCATAACCCACCCCCTCCCTGAAAGGTTTGGATAGAAATTTCACAGGCACTGCCAAGCAAACTCAATAAAGAAGGTCCCCATCACCTCCCTCGACCATCACATAGCCTCCAGAAAATCACATGTTCTTGACACATTTGGTCAGTGCAGGCTGATAAACTCCAAGACCTTGGAGCCCTGTTGGCCAAGAGCCCTTGTCAACCCACGCAGGTAAAGCGTAGGGTGGTGGAGGCACCAGTCTGTACAGGGATGCTGTGCCACCTGCCCAGAAGACCACTCCTGAGACCCTACCCTGGAGCATCTGGGCAGTTGCTCAATGGCAGTGCCACCCTGAAAGACATCCAACGTGCTTCCTGAGCTCTTTGGTGCTTCAGGAGCCCCACCAGCAGAAAGCCAAGTGTTAAAGACGACCACAAAGCTTCAGTGTCCTTCAGCACATCACAATAGGCTACAGCATGGCCCAGATTTCTAATGTGGTTGGCAGACTTTCATGTCGGGGATTAATATCTTGGCCAGAAAGTCCATCACTCAAGACAACGTTTTCCA